GGGAATTCAACGATCGCACGATGATATCGATCATTGATTATTCACAGAGAGCGATCGCGGTCTCTTCCCGCACTTGTCGCGAACGCGTATCAAGAAAGAACAATATACGTATATGCGAAGCGGCGCGGGCATAATCGTTCAATTCGACTGTCGTCGCGTGAATGATCCTGCGTACGGCGCCGTAAACACCTTTGCCGAAAACCGAGCACGGATTCCAAGAAATGACGTAGCGCCGTAAACACGTCGGTCAAAAACAATCTATTGTGTTTTTGCGTCGCTCGAATTCTCAACGTTCGTAGTTGTTTTTCTTTCGGCGCGGTGACGTATGTTTGCATGCCATTGCATGTGTACCCGAAGGTCGGCAGGGTCGGCTGCGCTATCACTCGCTCGCCGAACGTCGAGCCGGCAAGCAGTGGCGAGAGTCGCTCCGTGTGTATTATTACTTTTGTGTTATTAGTTTCCAAGACTCGATCGCGATGAATATAAGGATAAAACGCTATTGATTTGTACACATCAGTAACAAGTAACGTATCTCGATTAATTATTAAGTTTCCACAACTTGTAATGAAAAACGAATTACATGTTGAGGCGACAGCTCTTTATTAACGCGTTAGATATTTCACGAGACTAATTCATCTAAATTATGAATGTAAACCGTGGTATTTTGTCGTGGTTACATCTCGTTTACGCAACTCGCTTTTAATTATCTATCGATTTCGCGTAATTCATTTTCGGGAAAAGAGAGAAATTTGTACGAACTTCAGCGATCGCGCTGTAACTTGTTCTGTCGTTCTTTGCAACTCGGACGGACAGGAAGTAAAGATAGTTACTTGTTGCACGTTCTTACATTATGTAAATGTAATCGAAAATGATCCCGATTAACTGTCGCAATTAATAACAACTATTTATCGCTGGAAATTTCGCTCACATAATTAATTTTGAGGATTAGATTGAATGACAAAGATTGTAAAATATCGTTTCGTTGTGGACTAATAACATACTTTTACCGCAGAATATGCTTCCGATGCTCGCGTTGCGTTTTATATCGACAATTCAAAAGTGATTTATCCATTATTCCGAATGAAAAATACAAGTCGTTAGTTTGAGTAATTAGTATGACAGAAAGTCATGCGATATTTGTTAATAATATTTCGTGCGTTTCGTGGTAGGTATTTCACATCGCGTACGGGAGTGTCCGAAATTTCGCGCGATCGATGATTTTTGCGAGTGAGTGTTGTGTAAGTGCAACAAGGAAATCTGAGAGGAGGAGCAGGCCCAGAAGGCATCGGGCAACGGCGGAAAATTGGTGAGGTAAGTGTCTTACATTTTGACGTTATTTGCTACTTGTGCAAAATAAAGAATACACCCTGAATATTTCAAAATAAGTGTGAATAAAATTAATTAAGTTATAAAAATGTAAAAACGCAATTTAACGCAAACAAAAGAGGACCGCCGATAAGAATTCGGCAGAGGTGGTGGAGGGCCTCTACAAGTTGGTCTGTTTTTATCGGATAAAAATTTAATTCAAATCTGAAAGAGAGGCATCGTTTCATTTATAACCAGAAAATGCAAAGTTATAATAAAATATATAGAAAATCAAGCTTATCGAGAACAATCTACTACAAATTTTGTTGACAAAAGGAGTACGACGTAGCTTGTCAGCAAGTTTTTATATTTTGCAATTATACGTATAATTTATATGTCAGCAACGAAAAAATGTGAATCGCCAGTACTTAGTTGATTAACGATAAAAAGAATTGTTAGACGACTTTGGGTTGGTAGATGGTTGCTTAATTTTATTTAATAACACTCTCGTGTTACCGACATTTCGTGCATGCAGCACGGAACACAACTAAAGGTTGGGCACTGTATTACCCGTTTGAAAAATGGGCGTAGCGCGGACACACCATAGACATATATGTATATGTCTATGGGACACACACCAAGTGGAGACTTTATCGGCAGTGCTTGAAAATGGATGTAGCGGAGTAGTTTCAAAAATGAAAATGGGCGTAAGGCGCTAAAATCAGCCGAGCGAAAACGGTATAAAGTAAAGCGTCGTCTACAATACGTGGAGTAAACTTGGAGTAATGAGTAAGAGAGAACCATAACTTTTAGCTTTTGGTGTAAGGAAGCTAATTTTTTAAATATTTGTAACACTGGCCGATGGCATTTGGATTCGCCGAGAGTAAGCGTAAGAGCTGAAGTAGAAGTAAGAAATAAAATTGATTCTTCACTTCTACTCCTTACTCCAGGCTTACTTCATACATTGTAGACGACGCATAAAACCGGCGCGGCCGCTCTCAGGTTTCTTTCTGGTACGTACAATCGAATTTCTCATTTCCTATCCAGCTGATCTGATTATTAATTTAAGAATCACAACGATACTTAATGCGGAAAATTTGCGACAAATAACGTTTCGAGATAAAAGTTTTCTTAAATCTGTTAAATGTTTATGATCTTCGTTACAAATGAGACATCCTGTATATGGAGGGGCATACTCGTATTTTAAAATACTGGCAGTGCTGCAAATTTATTGTATACATTGTCTGCGTTTCGGTATTCACTAGCAGTACAGAACATCTATAATGCACGTAATTACACTATACAAACGTAAAAATTTACTGCGTATTAACAAAAAATTAACATAAAACAATTGACAACCGTTGGGTAACGAATTGATGAAGTCTAAATGATTCCTAGTTTCTTCTTCGACCTGCACCTTTATTTTAAATGGAGAACAGCAATAAAAAAAATTGAATTTAGAAATGTTCGGTTCAAGACGGGGTTTTTAATTTAAAAGAGTTTGAGTTGAATATTGTATTTATACATTCTGTCGTAACGCGCGGCATTAAATATCGTACATCGAATTGTAAAAACTCTTTTGAGAACTTTCGATACATTACGGGAAAAAGAAAATCCCTCTTTGTTCTTTGAAATATTTAACGCTGTGTAGAAATTGTTCGTAACAGATATATCATAGACGTAAAAGAGCCGTTCCTTATAATCTTTTCGTGAGAGCAACAAGGAGTAATTGTTATTTGACAAAATAATTAACGTAGGTATTAGTATTTTATAAAAACGTATACAGAGGACAAGATAAATCGATCGCTCGCTCTGCGAGAGGTGACTCTGAATCCTTCAAATGAAGCTACAACGCAACGGCGCATGTAAAAAAACAGACCCTTATATATTTACCTATATTTACATTTGCTTATAATATACATTTTATAATGCTACAGTATATATACTTCAGTCGACGGCCTTTTGATTTAAACGGCTTAATTTTTATTCATCTATCGCCTTCTAGATGTTCTCACGTTCGTAATCGCTATACAGTGTCGTGGTTTCGTTATATTTTGCTAGAATTAGATAACGTCGTAGATGTTTTTTCTTCGAACAAGGATAAAAGCGAGACAGGTCGTTCCAACCGGCGTCATATTCTAGCGGGTGAATGTTATTTCGACGATTGCTGCCACGAGTGCTATCGTGCTCTCGATAACACACGTGGACGATGTTCACGCGGTTGACAACGGCGGGACAGTTGCCGTTCACGTCGTCGAGACATCGGTAGCGGCAGTAAACGCTAAGTAATAATATCACAGTGTAGGTTTCTCGTCCGCCGGCTCCTCTTTTATGGGATGACTGCATTCCATTAGCGCAGGATTCGCCACGGCGATTATGTTGTCTCCGCGCGAGGCTATCACCTACACACATAATTTATGTGCGAGCCATTAACGGCCGTAGTAAAATAGGTGACGTCTATTGCCGTTTTTCCTACCGTTCTAAAGAAGCATACATTATTCAAGAGTAACAAAAAGGAAATGACGGCGTAGCGGATAAAGAGGAAAAGAAACTCGCGTGGCACATTTAGCGATTTTTTTGCAAACGGTTCTTCTAAAGTCCAAGCAAGAATGACGAGAGATAAGAGACGAAGGTACAACGAAGACGTTGAATCGCCTGTTCGTCGCTCACCTTTAGATTGAAGTCACCTTCTTTGTCGGTGTTCTCAGCCTCCGCCTCGTTTGTGTCCTGAAACATACGCGGACATTACGTCGCCGTTCACTCGTCCTCAACTCCGAGGTGTTAAGAATTTTTACGACACAAATATAGCGTTTTCTTAGTATTACACGTACGTGCATAGACGAAGATTCCTCGTTAGAGAAAGAGAACTGGCTATCCGAGTCGCTGATTTCCTCCACGCTGGCGCTGAATATACCATTATTACTCTTCTTCCTCCAGACTGGACTGAAACAATGCGAACGTCAATGTGCACTCTTGCTGCATAAGTAACGATAAACGCGATAACGCGAATATATTTCACAATAAGTCGAAATTGAATAAGGAGACACAACTTTCGAAATTCGAAAAAAATGACACCGCATCTACATACATTTTTGTATCATTATAGATATAACTTGTATGTTAAATATAAGCGGCAATCTAAAGGGTATTTATAACTATCAATGTAAAAAGTGAATTCAAAGCAAGCAAAAAATGCCGTATGAACATAGATTGATTAAAATTTAAATTTTTCGAATTAAATAAGATTTTAAGAGATGCTCGAAGTGGCGGATACTTCTTTCGGGCATTTTAATTAAAAAATTTATACATTTCAATTTATTACCATAATACTATGGTAAGATAGAACTTGCCATCAATTAATTTTGTCAATGACTTGCAAGTACGATTTATCCACCTGCATACATTTTTTTCTCTTGTTCATGAACTCTGTTTAAATCTTGCTGATATATTGAGTGAAAAATGTCGCAGTTAAGACTAAGGATAATCACCTCGACGACCTGGGTCTCCTAGTGATTGAATTGTTAATATCTGTTCCTGAACAGCGTAGATCCAATTCCTCCTGAAACAGTGAACTGCTACAGACAGTAGGAGTAACAAATTGGATGCGTGAGAGAAAGACGGAAAATAACGAAGGAGAGGTGCGAGAGGTAGGGTACATGAAGAAGCACGACCAGATAAACGACAAGTAAACACGACTTGGGATACCAGGCGCAAAGCGTAGAGTCCAAGCAAGTCGTGTCGAATGAATAAACTTTCGAACGACTGATTTTTGCCAAAGCTACTAAAACAACATGTAGTACAAACTTGCAAAGTGAAACTTTTCAGTTTTATTTTTCAATGAAGAATTCCCATACGTCTTAATCTTAGATATCCATTCAACATGCAGATTGACGATGTAGTAAGAGTATATGCAGTATAAGCAAAAGAAACTACGACCAATTCAGTTTTGCTAAGAATGATTGCATTTACAGGATCGCAAAGTGATGAAAGTTAACGAGAGAAAAAACAAAATTTTCCCGTGACGTGTAAACTTTTGTTAGCAAAAATATTAAGACATTAATAATTCGCATGCTGTTGAGTCATTAAAAGAAAAGCAGTTTTTCAAAATTAAGTTCAGATACAGACATATACAAACAACAATAAGTAAAAATTAATAAAAATAAAATTAAAATCAAATACAGAAAACGTCATTCGTGGTTCAATCTGAGATAAATTTTTTGAGTCAATTTAGAATTAAAATTAAAACGTTTAATTTAAGACTGAATTCCCCAAACACCGAAAGATTTGAACTGTTTTAAAGCAAGAATTATTTTAAACTCTAATAGAGAGTAAACGCGCGCCTCAGTACGCGCCATACAGTTGCAAATTGCAAAAGACTCAGGCGGATCTCTACTGCGATCGACATACAGATCTCACGCAATCTCGATTCAATCGCACGAAGCGCAAGCCATGCACGTGTTTTTGCAACTATACTTGACCTTTTTCGCGTCCATTCGGTTTCGCGCATTTAAATTAGTGCGGATGGTTAGTGCAGGGCGATCTCTACGCGGCGGGCGTACGGTTAATGATTAGCGGCCATGCGAGTGCAGCAGGTCACAGTGCACAGTGAACGATTTATTTCTGTGGCCGGGGTGATCTAACCTGCGTCGCGTCCTCACCCTCACCCTCCAGCTCGAGCTTCCGGCGTTTCGCGCGCTCGCCGTCGGTCTCCTCCCCGTTCTCGCGCGGCCTCGACATCGACAAGCTGCAAGAACATCGGGCGATAGGATTAAATAAGTACGCTTATAAGTTGAACTTACTTTACATATTCATTGTCAGTCGAGTTGGACTTTGCAAAATTTTATCGGAAGAAATATCAGTAAAAATATGATAGAATTTTCACGGAGAGAATTTTCTCTTCAAAATCCTGAAAATCATGTAACCGTGGGACGACATGGCATTTCGGAGAATTTTATGAGTTTCTTTTAATTTTACTAGTAAAATGTGCTAAATATAATTACTACTAGTAAATGTACCAAGTATAATTACTAGTAAATGTATGATACAATTTCAAAAAACTCTCATAAAGCTCTTCGAAATACCACGTTGTCTCACGATTGCATGATTTTCAGGGTAAATTTTAAAAGACAATTCTCTCCCCGTGTAGAGTCTAAATCACAGACTCTCTGGTATCCTTAGGCAGTTAGGATGAGAAGAAATCTGAATTTTGAGCTGTCGAATTCGTAGATTCCACGAGTTACTTACTATTGGCTTTTCGAGTAGTGATAGCCGGAATCGCGGACGACGCGACGCGCCAAAGGGAACAACTCGTCCCTCCTGGTGAGGAGGGCAGGCACGAATCTACAGATTTGCGCGGCCGCTTCGTTCACCGACACCTCGTGCAACGTGAGAGGCTTCTCCGGCTTTCTCTTGCAATCGAATCTGCCGTAGATCGCCGCGTACTTCCGGATCTCGTCCATTTTGCGCGGATCACTGTCGGACATCGTCATTACCATCTGCAACGAAACGCAATCCGCTTTGTAAAATCTTATGGTATTTCGCATTGCTCGTTCGTTAGAATTTACGAATTTAATTAAAATTAAAGAGCGCCGCATTTGACAGTCTCTTTAAGCAATTGCGTTTCACATCAAATTTCCCACGGAGGCATCGTTTAACGCAGCGATTTTCAAACAGTGTGCCACGAGAAATTTTAAAACGCGCAATACCTACACGGAGAGAATTTTCTCCTAAAATTTACCTGAAAATTATGCGATTATGGGACAACATGGCAAATAATTTTATGAGAGTTTTTTGAAATTTTACCAGTAGAATGTATATAGTAAAATTAAAAAAAAACTTATAAAATTCTTCGAAACGCCATGTTGTCCCACGACGTGATTTCCAGGGTAAATCTTAAAAGAAAATTCTCTCTGTGCAACTATTTAGTCAGCGACACTGACTTCTCTTCCCTTGGAATCTAATAGTATAGAAGATATTTTTTTTGGCGTGCCGCAGAATATTAGTAATTAGTTTATGCGTGCCACGGGATGAAGAAGGTCGAAAATCGTCCGGCGGTTGAAAGCGAGCGCGGTTGCTCGCGGAGGGAACGTACGGGGCCTTCGTCTTTCGAGCACGAGAAGCGCGGCTGCCGGTGGAAATAAACGTATCACCTCCAGGTTCTTGCAGAGTTTTTTCTTCACGTTGTGGGGTTTGGGATCGAGGGGCCTTATGGTGGCGACGAGCCTCTCGGCGGCCTCGGCGAGCCGCTGCACCTGTGACTGCAGGAGGGTCGGCGTCGGCTGCGTCGGGCTCGCAGGTGCACCGCCACCGCCGCCGCCGCCACCACCGCCGCCGCTCGGACTCGGCGTGGTTCCGCTACCGCACGAAGACTCGCACGTTCCTACCTGTACGCATAACAAAATGCGCGATGAGACGCATAAAAATGGCGAGAAAGCGCACCAGAATGACGCGAACTCATATGATTACCCAGTAAACGCGAACTAACAGTTACGTAACATTAATATTACACGGGGGGAAAATGCTGTTGAATTAAACACAAATCAAGTTGCTTGAATTAAACGTAGACGCCACGGGCTGCCACAAACATAAATAATTCGCTCAATTGTATTTGCCATGGATTGTAATTTTAAGCATTGAACCAAATATCCAGATTATTAAGACAACTACCTGATGATTTTCATTCTTGCTTTAATACTGATGTTGTTCCAACGATTTTATTTCAATTGCACTGATCTTGTTGATACATCATTTATTTCCGTATATAATTTCCTACTCAACAATGTAACTGTTAGGTGCAACGTATACCGAGGAAAGTCCTTCATCATGAGATAGGATTCTAATGTGAGATAGTAGGTTTTCAACGTCCAAATTCAACCGCAAATCTTTTTTCGCAACGATCATACGATCTAACAATCCATTGTTCACTAAACAGATTTCACTCCAAGGGCAATAAATTCATGGTGGAACCAACAGACGATGCCTATCAATTAGCAGAAACTCCGTTATCTCGTATTAGGAGCCTAATAGGGGACTTTCCTCTATCGTCGAGTGGGAAATTATTGTACAACGTAGCTGTTATGTCATTGTAATTTTTGTATCCTAAAGTACGTGGGCCGGTCTCACCATCTCCAATTGGTAGTTCAGGTCAATTTTGCTCAACAATAAATGTGATTGGTCATTTCCAACGGAACAATGGAATTTAATCAGCTGATCAAATTAATCGGAGATGTTTCAGTAAATCTATTCAATAGATCTTTACCAATAGAATCTATCGGAAAACCTCGGCTCTATCAATATATCATTCTCTAGCTAGAGTCTGAATCACAGACTCGACAGACGATCTCCCTCCGATCTCATCGGCGGCAACGAAGCCGGACGACCGGTGAATCCTTACCTGTAACACATTGGGGCTATGAGTGGTCGCGTAAGGTAGGGACGTGTTCGGGCTCGGGCTCTGGCGGAAGGTCGTGGAGGACGCTGACGCCGAGGACACGCTGGTGACCGGCACGACCGGGCTGGCGCTACGGCAGGGCAGCGGCGTCAGCGGCATGTGGGGCGTCGTCGACACGTAGGACGTCGGCGTCAGGGTGGCCTGGGAGGTTGCGGCGAAGCCGGTCGGCAGGCTCTGCATCTGCGGTCGCGGGCTCGCGCACGCGAAACCCACGGCGGCGGCGACCGGGCTCTTGGCGGCCGCCGCGGCGGCGACGACGGCGGCGGCGGCGGCTGCGGCGGTCGTCGGCACGACCGGCGTTTGGAACAGCGCTGCGAGGAGATGCAAGAATTTCGAATTGGCGCACGAGACCTTGTCTCGTCGTGTTTCGCGGCTTACGCTTAAAGAGTGAGAACAAGTGTCCATAGGCAAATGGCCCCATTTGTTTCGCATTCGATTCTGGTCACAAAGTAGGTACCAAACGAAAGGCCTCGTCAAGCTGATCGCAGATACGTCAGTCTCAGAGTGTACCTATTTAACGTTCCAGAGATATCGGGCTCCAAAAGTTCCACTCCATTCCAAACAAATGCTTGGTGTCCGTCCAGACGGCTTCATCGCTGCATGATGTCCTGGAAATTTTTGGAGCCCGATATCTCTGGAACGTTAAATAGGTACACTCTGAGACTGGCATATCTGTAATCAACTTGACGAGACCTTACGTTTGGTACCTACTTTGCGACCGAAATCGAATGCGAACAAAATGGGGCCGATCTTGTTCTCACTCTTTCACGAAGCTCGCACACGAGACGCGGAATTGCGTGAGGCGTGGATACTTTACAGGGATTAGTGAGCCACTCCTGCAAGGCTTTCTGAAGCCTCCTGACGTGAAGCGGCTTGCTGGCCATGCCCACCAGAGCCATGATCTCCAGGAACTCCTCCTCGCCCGCGTCGCACAGCTGCTGCACATCGTCGCCTCCTACAATGACATCAACGATATTAGGCAAAGTCACTCTTCGAGAAGTACGAATAAATGTCGTTCGTCGAGCGCACTCCCCTTTGAACTTGCGGATTCTAAATTCGAATCGTTTCTCTTCTCGCGGAAACATCGGAGTTCTCCGCAGTTTTTAAATTGTAAGTGATTCGAAATGAGGAACTTTCCGAGTACCAAGTTTTAGACGAATTGATTGTATATAAAATCACGTTCTTCAAATTGGTTTCAAGTAAACTTCAATTCGACGCTGTTAAGAAGAAATCGACTGATAATCGCCCAAGAAATCTATGCTCTCTACAGTTTTGGAGCGAAAATGAAACATATGAGGCGAAATATTCACTCTATGGTTCCATTTTTACTCCAAAAACCTTTAGAGAGCACGTAGTTCACAGAAAATGAATACACTAGGATTATTCCAAGGGATTTTTAGCACCGCACAAATTGAACAATCAATATTCTATAATTGTCCACTGTTAGATTAGTTCAACGTTACATCGCAGGGGAAATACTAAATGAGCCATCAGGTGCAGCCAGATAATAAAATTAACACGCCAGTCAATTGAATTAAACATATAGTATATTAATAAAAGATTAGACGTTTTCGCAGCGTCTAGAAACTTAGTCTGTGATTCCCACTGATATATTTTTTTTTCTCAACGACGTCCAGGAAAGATCGCAAGGATCCAGACTGTGCGTTTACGGATCTAGAATTGCTTATTCAGATATCTCCCGAATTTAAATGTTTCCCTGGGATCTGGGACTGCGTGTGAAAATGTTTCGCGCATTCCACGGATGTGCCTCCGGACGCATGCTTACCCATCTCGAGGAGCGTGTCGTAGTATCCCAGTAGCGAGGCGCGCTGCATCACCCTGTACAGCTGCAGCTCGGCCTCGTTCTGCGGCACGGACGTCTGCACCACTGAAAATCGCACACACCGCATTCGTTAAGGGGGTTCATTAAGAGAGAGAGCCCGCGGCGCAATTAGCGGCGAAGAATCGGTCCCGCGATCAGCGGTTTTTGGCCTTTTCAGTTTATCGTCGACGACGCAGTAACAATCGGCGACCGTGGGCCGTTCGACAATCAATTGCCTCGCAATTAGACAGTCTGGCGGATGCGACGACCGACGATGTTCCACGAGCGATTGGGTTGAACTAATTAAAGGGCGATGCTTACACATAAGACGTCGGTAAACGCCAACTAACAGTAATATTATATTATTATAATTTCCCACTCGACAATACAAGTGTAACACGTGTTGCACGTAACAGTTACATCGTCGAGTAAGAAGTTATAATATTGACGTAACGTTAGTGTTAGTTGGTATCTACTGGGACGTTGTTCTTAAGACGATTGTCCTGTAGGCAATGAGAGCAAAGCAGCCAGCGATTTAATCGACTCTCATTGGGTGGAGGTCAATCGTCAATCGCCAATTCCAATCCAATCCGAGTCGGCAATTGCTAGTCTGATTCGGCCTTTGCGCGCATCACACATCTCACCTGTCCGCTTTGATAACGTTCCAGTTATCAAGTTATCCAGAATTTTTTCCCGGGATAAACGGCGCCGCTATTGTGCCTCCGGTATCTCTGACATCTACCCTTTGTTGCATATTGTTAAATTATAAAATTAGGCTTTGATAACGTTCCAGTACAAAGCCTAAGTCAGTTTGCTTGCGGTAACACATCGGGCGGTATCTCGATTTCTAACATGACACTACCGTCTCAAGTAATACGAAATAAAGCCTGGGCGTGGAACAATACACGAAGCGACAAGAAGGGAATCAAGAAGCGCTCGGTGCTCTCCGTTTTATCGCCGACATTTATTAATCACTCACCCCGGTCGGACTTTTTCAGAAACGGTTGAAAATATCAGATTTCTCCGTTACTGAATTTTTTCCCGGGATAAACGGCGCCGCTATTGTACCTCCGGTATCTCTGGTATCTATACCCTTTGTTGCATATTGTTAAATTATAAAATTACTAATACCGTTAGTGATACCATATATATTTGGGCGAATTAGGGAAAGTTATTAATTCAGATTAATTCAGTCTGCCAGTGTATAATCGCAATCACTACCCTCGCGCCGATCACCCTCGATCATCCGCGCCATCGTCGCGCCATCGTGCCAGAACGATCGCGCGAGCTCGCCTCCTCGGACGACGAGCGAGGGGACGCCGGAGTGTCCGACTAGTTTCTTGCAAATTTCGAGGAACTGCGAGAAAAAGCGGCGTGCACACACGTACCGCGTATAAATTAATACCGGTGCCGCCGTTGGAGAGAAAGGAGGAGGTGAGGGAGAGAAGGGCGCGGGGGTAAAACCGAAGAAAGAGGCCGTAGAGGTAGAGAAAGACTGGAAGGAGAGAGAGAGAGAGAGAGAGAGGAGCCGGAAAAAAAACTGGCCGACGGGTCTTATTACGAGCCCGGGTCCCGGTCTCACGCTCGTGCATCGCGGCCACTCGGGCCCGCGAATAAGTCCCCGCTGTCGGGGACGACGGCGACGGCGACGGCGACTCGTTCCGCGAGATTTTTCTAGCGCGAATCGCGACCTGCGAAAAAAGGATCTACGTGGAAGAGTTGGCTTGGGTCAGCAGGATCGGCGGAGCGATAGGAGGGCAAATGAAGAGGGAAAGCGTTCACCGACCGAAGCATGCCAGGAGAGCACTCGGTGCGGGGTAGTTAAGCCTTTAAAAGACCGAGCCGATATCAACTCCGTAAGAAAATACGAAGCAAAGTTAACCGATGAAGAAATTACCAATTATTATAACCAGATTTATGTCTCATTTATCGCCGACTTTTATACATCACGATTTATACCTCGTCGAATCTTTATTTAATTTGGACCGTTTCCCAATCGTGCGCTTCCCGACGTGTGGACATTTTTCCATTTTGACATTCTAAAATTCTATCTCCCTGTGTCTCTTCCATCTTTAAATTATATTTGGAATTCAGTAAAAAAGAGATGTCTTGTCATCCCTCCGGCGTATAATTTGCGAAAAGCAGCTTTATCTTTAATCGCTAAACACTCGAAAACCGTTGGTACCGGCATTTTTCGCGAGAAGAAAATTGTTTCAAAGGGTATCAGCGAATCGGAGTAAATCTCGTAAAAAGCACTCGTCGGTTTCGGGTGAAAATAACATATAACGTTTTTCGTGTCCTATTATATTTTTCGTCGGTTTTTACATTTCCGGATATAATTATCGGGCAAAAATGCGCGTGTCGCGCGGTCGCACGAGGGGGAGGGTCAAATGTCAGTTCGGGTTTTCGCAAATCTTGCCTTTTCGCGAGAACCTTGGCCTGAAAAATCCCAACCGTGCAGGCAGTACGCGAACTCCACCCCACGGTTTTTGCATCGATTCCCGCTTTACGCTTCGCTCCCATTATTATTGCCGCCCGCCATTTATTTATATCGCCGTGGCTGACATCTTATTCACGTTTTCACGTCTTTATTAATACCGCGTGTATGTGATATACACGTTGTTGATCATCTAGCCGAGCCTGTCATCCGCGCGATAACACTTCGATCGAGCTTTTGTTAAAAAATAAAACCACGCGCAATTGTCCGCTCATCATCAACTTCACGCCGCATTAACTGAATTTATTAATAATTTTTCATCCTGCATTTTTATTCCGTATACTTGCTCGACCTAATTTGAGACGTGGGCTAAGCTGCGAATTACCGATTGGGGCGATTGTACTATTTCGAGCGGGCCGGTCCTGCCCTCGAGCGAATTACACGTAATATTAAAAAATTTTTATCTCTACTAAACGTGATAAAACGAAATAACGAGAGTCAAGGCCAAAAAAAACAACGACGAGCTTTAGGTGACAAATTGAAACTAGAATATATTTACACAATTCAAAAGAAATAGAGTACGTCGCGACAACACAGTGTCCTCATCAGCCCATTAGTAGACAGTTTAAACTAAATAGCAGAGTATCAAAGTATCAAAAATATAAGTTAAACAGATTGCGGTTGAAATCAGTTAAAATACGCAACAAACGTACCGAGGGAGACTTGGCAAGTATCCACCTCGACAGTCGGAATAATATTAAAAAACTTTTAATACTAAATATCAAATATTCGAAAATTTAAAATAATTTTAACAAGTCTATATTTATAAAAGTATCAATACCATGTACCATTCATTCGTATCGACCAGTTCTGCTTAAAGTTACCGAAATCCACTCTCGATTTAAACAACTGGGGGGTCAATTCTGTATCTTACACCACAGTGAAAATGCTACGGTAAAAGCGAGTAGCTTCATCTCTTTCTAACTGTCCTTTTAGCCGCTCGCTTTTAGCATTTTCACTATACCGTAAAATACAGAATTGACAGACTTGCTGAGAAAACTACGTGCGCAAAATTGATCGCCGAGCTCCTCGGGATTACAGCGACATTTTTCCGTGGCTCGTCCCCGGCCCTTCGGGCTGGAAATCGTCATCGGTTGTCGTTCGAGTTGCGCGGCTCACCCTGTATACCTGTGACCGACAGAACAGCGGCGGCGGTTCTAGGCCGGGCTCTCGCGGCGTATTTACATAACGACTTTTTTGGCACGGGGTGGCTCGTTTTTGTCGGCCGGGAACGCGAACGCGGCCCGGAGGCGGAGAGGCGCGTCGCGACGGCGAGAAAAACCTGATCCCACCGCGGCGGGAACCCCCGAAGGCTCGCGCGCGCGGCTACCCGGGTCCTCGTCGCCGTCGCCGCCGCGTCGTCGTCGTCGTCGTCGTCGTCCTCGTCCTCGTCATCGCGAGTCCGCGCGTTCTTTGTGGACGAGACCGTGCGCGACCGGTCCGGCGCTTTTCGAGGGGAGAGAAAAAAAAAAGAGCGCGGTCGTAAAGGGGAGAGGGCACGGCGAGTTCGGAGTGGACTTTTTGCTCGCCATTCGTTCGTCATTCAGTACAATTTCGTTCGCATTGTGACCCGTTGTAAAAATCTATCCGTTTGCTTGCATTAATCGCCGGGCTATTTTGGACCCGCGTCGAACTTCCGTTCTCCAACTGGCGGAGAACCGGACGCCGCGCCGGCCGCGCAAATCGAGCGTTATGTTACGGTGCCTTTGCTTCTGTAATCGGAAAGTATCGTGTGCTCTTGTTGAAATATCTAATAAGTTTCGAAAGAACAGTTTCGATTCTGTGTAAGTTCAATAATTAATTAATAAAATTCATAGGACTATAATGTAAAAACCCAAATATGAAGTAATAAAGGAGTAAAAGCCTGTGTCCACGATGCTAGAACTTGATCCAAGTTCTAGTTCCGAGAAATGTGTAGCCAATCAACTTGCGGCTATTCCATAAAAGCTGCAAGTTGATTGGCTACACATTTCTCGAAACTAGCACGTGGACGCGGTTCTTAAGGCCTGTGTCCACGATGCTAGAACTTGGACACAGTTCTTGGATCGTGGACACAAGTCTCGAGGCCTGTGTCCACGATGCTAGAACTTGGTCCAAGTTCTTCAAGTCACAGGCCTTAAGAGCCAAGACAGGATTTTGGTGTCTAAATAATTTTGACTTTAAGTCTATTGCGAAAAATAATACCTCAACCAGGGTTTGAACCTTTAATAATTAATGTAGTAATATCTCGGTAATATCTAATATTAGTAACGCGATAATTTCTTGACTATATTATATAATCTCGAAAGAATTAAGATCTGAATCATTATTCAGTCGTCGGTTAACGTTTTAATGCAACGTTAAATGTCGCGATAATTTTACTCGCATCTATGTCAAATAAGTGATATGAAATACGGACTCTACGTCGTAACGGCGGAAAGAGAGAAACACAAATCGAATTCCGAAACCGGCAAGATTCCCGCAAGGGCCAAACGGCGGAATCGCCGGCGCGTCGCGCCGACAGCTCCGGGATTACCATTGTTTTCTATCCTCGGATATGTTTTACGATCATTGTGTCCGAGAATTAACCCGGAGGGGGCTCCGCGATGCCACTGGGAGCGGAGAAAAACGGCGAGGCGCGCGGCCCACGATTCGCGCAGGAGAACAAGATTAGACGCGGCCGCGCCGAAAAAGAAACGGGCGCGCTAAATCAGAGGCGAGCCCGAATCCCGCGGACGCGCCGATGCGCGTAACCGTCATAGTCCGCGTGACGCGACGAATGCTAGCAAAAAGCTGCGCTTTAATTGTATCTTCCCTGTGTGATTGTAATATCGAGAAACGAGCACGGAGGGAGTCGCGCGCGGAATCTGGCGACACGCCGCGTCGTCTCATGTCCATTTCTACCAATGTAGATTAATTTTAATCTCGGTTAACCATTATACCTTTCATCTTTTTTCTACTTTTAAGAATTAGAAAAAGTTCGAAGTAAGTTAAACAGAGATTAAAATACATCTGCATTGATAGAAATGGATATCGGACTCGCTTTCACCAACGTCGCCTTGACCTTAGTTTAGTTCATCCTTCGTCTCTTGACTGTGAGATAAGAAGACCTGTCCACGATGCTAGGACTTGGTCCAAGTTCCAGCTCCAAGAAATGTGTAGCCAATCAACTTGCAGCTTTTATGGAATAGCTGCAACTTGATTGGCTACACATTTCTCCAAATCAGAACTTGGACCAAATTCTAGCATCGTGGACAGATACTCATAGTCAGATCGTATATTTAAGTTTATTTTAAGGTGCTGTATGGGACATTTTATTGCCTACGGAGTAGCACACGTCGACTGCCGCTGTAGTATCCAAAGGTGATCTTGAGACGATCTTAAGTATAAGATCTGACTGTGAATACCGCCCTTAAGCCTTGTGTCCACGATGCTAGAACCTGGTCCAAGTTTTAGTTCCGAGAAATATACAGCCAATCAACTTGCAGCTTTTATGGAATAGCTGCAAGTTGATTGGCTACACATTTCTCGAAACTAGAACTTGGGCCAAGTTCTAGCATCGTGGACACAGGCCTTTAGACCCGCGGCAAATGCAGAGGGAAGATACTCGTCTCTCCCGCTTGCTCTCGTGAAACAAGAGAAATTTCACAGGGGACAAACGCGAGTGCCCTTTTGCCGCTTTAAGCTTCCGGATGGTTTGCTAGACGACAGATCGTCTAATCGTAAGCGGTGGATCGCGAGAGAAAGACCGAAGAAGAGATCGATACCGGTCGCTAATAAAATTACAATCAAGTCGAAGCACGGGTAAAGTCGGAACGGGCTAAACTTAGAACGGCAATTTCGCAAACGTGTCGTCCGATCGAATTAGAATCTTCAGAGAAGATCGTTCGGCTAATCGGCGGAAAGAAGAGCGCGTCGGTTTCCCGCGGGGGAGAACGTCGTCAGATAGATTATCCCCTTATCGCGCGAATTCGATTCGTGATTGCGCGCGCGGGAAGAGAGACGATTCCCGAGGAAATCGCCGTGACGGTGTCCCGCGGCGAGGGGGGACCGAATTGTCGCTACGGGAGTCAAATGGCAGCGGTGCGACGAACGAACTGCCACGAATCGAGATGGAGACTAGGTCGCGGACAAAGGGTCGAAAATGAAATCGGACCGTGTGCGATCGGTACGTGCGAGATGTGGAAACGAAGCGGAGAGAAATAGAAAGCTTAGCACACGTCGACTGCCGCTGTAGAATAACTTCGTCTTCATTTTTGTACCAGCACGTTATTTTGATACATTATTTTTAATATGGTTAATTATATTTACATGTCTCTCAGTGGTCGAATTGGCGAGACCCCCGCCTAGAGTGTAGGGCAGTCCAGGTTCAAACCCTGGCTGAGGTTAACATTTTTCGCAATCAATTTTCTGTACTATTAAAAATGCCAGATATGGTCAAGAAAAACGCTGACGTTGTCAATTACTGCTGGCGACGCTGAAGAATATTCTTATCAGTTGATTATATTTGTTCTTCATTAAAGCTGATAAAATTCCTATTTTCCCGTTCAAAAATTCGTATCGGCAAACAGTTGACGTTCGTGCATTATCATGCAACTACAAGTTAACGAGTATTCAACAATCGCAAGTGTTAACCGACTCGACAATCCTAGTATTCGAGGAAAAACCTGGAACTTGTTCGAGTATCGCAGGATCAATCGAGACCGACATAATTTCGCCGTATATCATGTTGTCTTGGGCCACTTAACGCGAAAGTGTGTCGTCTTATCGTCAGTTTACCCGTCGTAGAAACGCGCGACGCAAGTTCTTTTACGTTTCATTTACAGCAGGAGTCAACTCGGAGATCGAATTCCGACGAAATCTGATAGTTTCTACCGGTTTGCCCGTGCCACGGGTAATGGACCTTTTTTAGGAAAAAAAAAGATACAAAAAGATGCCAAGTACAGGCGCCCGTCGAAACGTATCTCTGAAAAATACTATCGCGTATAAAAATCTTTTAAAAAAGCCGCTGTGCATTCTATCTACAAAAAGTACGATATTAAAAAATGGCACCAGCAGAGCGTCTTTAGAGCAAAAACCTGTCGTATATTTCAATCCATGAACAATACTGTCGTACAAAAAAATCTGTGGAAAAAAACACTGTTGCACATTTAAAATCTTTGGAAGAAAAACTGTTGCATATTTTAAATGTAAACCTTTGGAACGATCCCGTTGTATATTCTGGCCCATGAAAACGGAACTGCGTTTTACGAAACTGTTTCGCGATCTGTACTGAAAAAAGACCTGTGCTAAAAAAATTACTTCAATGCGCGTCCATTAAAGAAAATGCAGAGTGCGTTCGTCTATTGCGACATTTTTATAAATAATGGATATCGCTTGATCAAGGTCGCGACAGATGACAGCGATTGCGAGAAAGAGAAAGATAGAAAAGTAGAACGTCGCTGGACCGTGTCGATGTCGTCACAAGCGCGCGACTACCATTTTTATTACATCTTCCGTCGACAAGAAGACGCAATGCTCGTGGCAGACAGTGCCAGAGGCGCGAGATAATCGTGTCCTTTTTGCATCGCGTCCAATGCGGAAAGTTATCAAGGGCTAATGATCCACTCGGGATCGGCTCCAATTAACGGCGACGCCTGAAAGATGCAATCGGATAACATATCGGGCAACGTTCGACAGTATTGTCCCGCAATATGAGCGACGATTCAGACCC